TATATATTATACGTGGTCTCATGATCTACTATTGAATAAAGTCTTTAGGGAAAGTGGCAATTAAAAAATTAAATGTGGGCGAACCGAGTCCTGCTCAGCTTCAAGCTTTCAAAAATGAAGTTGGTGTGTTAAAGAAAACTAGACATGCAAATGTTTTGCTTTTCATGGGTTGGATGCGTGAACCAGACCTTGCAATTGTCACTCAGGTAATGACTTTATCCTAAAGTTTGTTTTCTTGCCATCTTGTCATTTTTTTACTCTTCTATTTTATCTGCTGTTCACATTGACGATTTCAGTGGTGTGAAGGATCTTCTTTATATAGACAAATACATGTGAATGAGCCTCGCGTAGACTTCGAAATATCATCAGTTATTGATATTTGCAAGCAAATCGCTCAGGGAATGAATTATTTACATTCCCGTCACATCATTCATAGGTTTTTATTAACTTCATATTTTTTTGTGTTTTAACGTCTTACAACTCTTATAAGAGTTATCGCTGACCTCAAAAAATTTTCCAATTCACAGATACTTGATGTTTTGAATTGATTACTAAAGCGCATTATCTTTTACACCATGTACGATTACTATTATAGCTACTTCATGTTTTTTCTTTTTCTCTTCCTATACCATGCAATCAGCAACTCTAATAAGATCGGTGTTTTTGAGACTTCATAATTTTCCTTTTTTTAATTTCAGAGATCTTAAGACGAATAACATTTTCTTAACTGATGATGGTACAGTCAAAATTGGCGATTTTGGCTTGGCCACTGTCAAAACGCGTTGGAATGGTGGACAACAAAATCAGCAGCCAACTGGAAGTATCCTTTGGATGGTATAATTTGTCATTTTACTTGGTGTTATTGTTTTACTTGTTAATTAATACGAATGCTCAGTTTCCTATACTAATGCTCAGTTTCCTGTACTATGTTCAAAGTAATATTGTGATTAGACATGAAAGCATTTAGGCTCCGGAAGTGATAAGAATGCAAGATTCGAATCCATACACAACTCTTTCTGATGTATACTCATTTGGCATTTGTTTGTTCGAATTGCTGTCAGGAGTTTTACCTTATTCGCATATCAACAGTAGAGATCAGGTTTGTCTCTTTGAACGCTATGCTGTCTATTGGCGTCGCAGTTTGAGATTTGTTTATATTTTAGAAAATTCAGATTTTGTTTATGGTTGGCCGTGGCTATTTGAAACCCGACTTCACTAAAGTGCGCCACGACACACCAAAAGGCTTGCTAACATTGCTTGAAAAATGTATTAAATTTTGTCGAGACGAACGTCCGGAATTTGAACAGGTTAATATTTGTTTTTATTTAATTTTATAATTAAGTTGTGACCGTATAGAAATTCTTGCAAAAATACTTCCATCAAGTTTAAAATTTCCAGGTTCTCATTTATCTCGAGCGAGCTTCAGCTGGTCTTCCAAGACTGAAACGTTCTATGTCGGAACCACAAATATACAGAAGTTATTATGACCAGCATGATTTTCTGTTACCGGTTCAAACACCGAATTCCCCTAAAACAAACACTGTTGGAAAATTTTCGCTTTTTACTACGTATAATTGGACCGATCAGTTGTAATGTTTTCTAATCCTTTATTTATTTGCGTACATTTTTTGTTCAAATAATAACTGTTGGCAACCTTGTAGAAAAGCAACATTAAAGAGACTATAATTTATTAAAATGTTGCTAGCTTAACAATTAGTCAGTTCTTATACTAATCTTACCATTTAAAATTTAGTGTCGAAGTATATTGCAGAAAGAGTGGTTGTGTAAATGGTGAGTGATGGCACATCTATGTCGGAGAATTGATGATCGAAATTTTATGAAATTTTATGAAGCTGTCTCGTAAAATAATGCTGTGCATAACTATGAATCAGGTATTCGTCTCCCAAATTCGAACTTCAAGCAACAGCAACAGTAATTGAAATTTCTGACATTTTCTTGATCATCCTGAAGCGGAGTGTCGTTAGTAATTATTAATGTCAGGCATTGAGATGTGAATAGTGCCTGTAACAATTTTGAGGCCGTGTTTTATCAGCTTCTGCTTTAAAACTCGTGTAAACTGGATACTAATAATTTTTGTTTCATAACTAGTCTCCGCGCAACCAATCCCTCGCTTTACAAATAAGTGATCGTTTCCATCTATTATTGCCAATTAAAAGATATGTGACATAGGTATAGAGAAACAATGGATTATAAAGTATTGCAGTTAACGACTCATAGGCATAAATCGCTCAAATACGTTGTTTTACTTTAATTTGGCTATCTTCAATTTTTTTTATTGGAAAAGTATTGTAATTGCTTTAACAGTTTATTTCTTTATCGCTTTCAGCATTCTTTGCAATGTCATTTATTGCTTCAAAGTAATCGGTATTTCGTAGAAGTTATACATATATTATGAAACCATATCTGTAATTTTAGTTCATCAAAAAATTGTTGCTATCCAAATATAGAATTATTTATTTTCCTTGGTCATAAGTGTGATCGCGAATTGATGTATTAGACACTTTTTTCTGGGGAAGAGTATTGAGAAAAAGTTTTTCACTGAAAATGGAACGAAGGTTGGTTACGGGGAATCATTTTCAAAGAAGTATTTTCCAACTTTTCACTCCATTCTGTTTTGACATGCCCTTTAGTCTCTGATTATATTTCTTTAATAGATTATTGTTATGCGGTTGGTTCAGAACAGAAAGGAATGCAACCTATTATAAGTTTGCAATAAATTCCTGAGACATCTTTTCACCTTCCACTATTGTGAAAACCAGTAAACAACGCTAAAAATACAAGTTTTAATATTACTTAATTGTCCCGGTCTAAGCTCTAATCTCTTTTTTTCTCGAAATTTTCTATTGCATCTCTACTTCATACTTTCGCTTTTTTAATGTAACCTCAGCAACGGTATTTCACACGAATGCAGTATTGCGATTTTCTTTTTGTAGGCATTATTCCAATTTCATACGTAAGTGTGAAGAGGTGGAAAACTATATATTTCATCATTTGTTTTATTTCATTTGTTGTGCTGGAAAAAGTATAGGAAGTTTTGAAATATTTTCGCTTAAGCTCTAGGAAATGTGAGAGCAATGGAAGATTTATAATAGATTGCGTAATGTGTTATGTATGTGAATTCATTGTAAAATTTTTTAATTTTGATTAGTACGATTTCTACTTGTAGTGTCTAATTTTAAAGAAGTCATTGACAAGCAAATGAATGCCTTTTCATGGTACTAAATATTTTTAATTGGTGTATGTGAATTGTTCTGCAACTTCGGGTCTTTTACAGTTTCCCCTTATGTGTGCTTATTTGTACTTTCTATGAACAATAAGTGTTGAATTTATTTTATTGCTATTTAAGAAGCAATTAAAGTGTGTAATAACTTCATCTTTTCTGTCCATATCTGAACATTAATTTCATCGGTAAAGCCTTAAGGTTTTTATTCTTGCTTCACGGGATATGTGCATAAAATAGTGAACTAAAGATCTTTTTTAGATAGTTCAAGAAAATCTTGAAATTGCCGGGAAAAAAATTTCAATCCTAATTTTCGATTTTTAATCTTTTGTTAGGACAATAAATTTTCGGCATCTTCGAGTTAGGAGGATGGTAGGAAGTCAAGTATGTGGTGTTAGTAACTAACTAAAGTGGATCGAAGTTTTTTTTTTAATGTGAAAGAATCTCTTGGTGAGCTTATTAACTCAAATTTTCCCTTAAAGGGTAGCTGAAATTGTCAGGTCGCCCACAAGACGTATGAATGCAGCTGATGTAACGCAAGCAGATTCGATTACTTCTGGGAAAAAAATCATTCGCATGGAGTTTGGTTGTTTGTCCCACAGAACTGTGGCCGGATTAGAAACAAAATATTAGTAGTTTCTAGTGGAGGAACGGAGGGGAAAGATGCTCTTTTGCATTCAAAAACACGAACCGGTTTCGTCGTGTACATTTCGATTCTCAGATCTGAAAAATCCCGATTTTTTTAATGAATATTGTTGATGGAAGTTGTTGTCATTGAGAATAACCAAATTATACGTGTATGATAAAACATCTCATTAAAGCAAGATTATAAGCATCAATGAATGGAAGTTGTTTCTTCGAGCACTTATGCCGAGCAAGGTTTTTTTTTGGAACCCGCCTAATATTACGAGCCAATAATATTTGTTGCCATTATTTTTCGACATCATATCTTAATTGTTCCCACGCACCATACTATTCGAATTCGTGATTCAGATTGTTTCACTTTTACATGCATTGTTTTAGTATTTTTTCATTTTTATTGCTCCTTAATCACTAAATGAATTTTTACGACTCTGTAGCAAAAGTTTCCGAAATTTGTTACACTTAATATCATCCGTTTATTTGCTCTCTTTCAAACTCTTTTAACTGATGTGAATCTTAATACTTCAAAATAATTTGCTTTCTTTTATATCATTTATTCCGTGTTAATTTCCTTCAATTTCGAATAGTATAGCAGGAAGTCACTACTTATATTGCAAACGCTTGTTGCTGTCACATGTAAAGACTGTCCCAAATTCAACGGGACTAGAGGAGTCTGCGATGAATTGTTTTGCTTTAACTTTTGTTGCATAAGTAGAATAGAATACAAGAAGTGAGAAATGAAAATGAACAATAAAAACATGGACGTTTTATACTTAATTTCTCATTGTTATTATCAAGAATATTCAGAACAATCAGCGAACTGAACAAATGAGGTTTTGATTCTGGGATCAATGGTCCCCATGGAATTAGATTAGTAACTTAGTGGCACTTCAAACATACTGTGTGTTAATTTATGTAATACATGTAAAACGAAGACTTGAGCAAATGATGACTTTTTTAAATGTTGTACTGAAAATTTCGCTTTGCAAAGGTTTCGTGGAATATTTCAGTGTATTAACATAAAATAAGTCTAAAGATCCTTAAATATGAATTTTCGCAACATGTGGAAGATAAATCATTTCTAGTTTTACCCACTGAATGAGCGCTTCTAAACACTGAAATGATGTAAGGGAGGAGTGTTTCAAAATAGGTGTCATTACATCAACATATTTGCTATCATTTATCAGGTAGTGATTTGTCGTTGTGGTTGTTCTGAGGCCCATTTACTTTTCACAGTTATTTTGCGGACTAAATTTTCTTATGTGTTTCCAGTGTTCCTTTGTTACAATTGCACTCTTGAAAATATTAAAAGAAGATTTGTGTTTTTTTAGGAGGGAAATGTTAAGAAGTGTTAAAAATATTTGAAATTATTTGCTGAAGATTCGTAGAAGCTTGAAACAGAAAAATTCGAAATATAAATAAGGTGCCGTTGTGGGGTTTTAGCTTACATGGAATAAAAATAAATTTTAATTTTGGTCAGAACTCGCGAGATGGATTACTAGTTTAATTTTTGGGTCACAGATGAAAATTAAGAACACCAAGTGCATCATTAAACATGAAAAAAGGTCAATCGTAAAAGCGTTGACAGCATTCTCCTTGAGCTCATTCAGGGAAAGTATCTGCAGAAAACCTGTATTTACTACCATGTTTAGATATATATGTATCAGGTTTACGGTAATGTTTACATCATAAGTTATGCGAGTCATTTGCTGATATGATTTTTTTTTTATCGTCGCTTATTCATATATATCAAAATCCATCCAAATAACTTTTCATGTTGTAGAAACTATTTAAAATAGTCGCATTTATTTCTCCGAAGTATGATTTAATCACAATTCTGTCTGAAAAAAATATGCTTATGTTTTTGATTTTTAGTATCTTCAGAGCTTTATATTGCATTAAAACGGTAGCAAACTATATTTCTTAAGTACCGATTATTTTGAATTGTACAAATATTGTTTCTGCAGTAGTCGTCTCATCCGTTTTGGCATAAATGGTTTTTGTTTGTTACAGTTGTATGGTTAAATGAGCTGTGGACCTCAATTTTTGCTGAAAAATTTTCAAAAATATTCCAGGCTGGGAATGGATCCAGTGATGTTAGTACATTCATGAAGATCTTTGGAAGGCAGAGATCAACAAGTGGCATCTGGGAAATAAGCAACCTAGTCGATAACTAAAAAGATGATAAATTGTTAATAGAGATGGCAGAAAACTAGGGAAAAATATTTCTGAATCACTGTTACCTGAGTCACACTAAGGGTCTTAGCGATCTTGATGGTCGGACTAAAAGAATCGGCTTGCATTTGAAGAAAAATTTTGATTGTTCTTTAAAACTTAAATTGAAATTGCTTTTTGAGTACAAATCTGCGGGATTGAATTTGTGGAAGAAAGAGTTAAATATTTTTTCTCCTGTCATTTTATCATCTCATATCATTTGAGATATGAGGTAAAGTAAATTACTCATTCGAGTATGTCATAATGCTAATAGTGGCAATTAATATTTGTGGCTAAGACACATACTGCTTAATGAACAGAGAGTAACTAGGCCATGTTAAAATTTCGTTAATTTTAAAAAGTATATGCAACGCTTATTAACATCATTGTGCTTTTCAATGTGCAACAGATACGCTATTTTTATGAGCTACATTTAGTCGTAAAGTTTCGAAGTTACAAGTTAGTTGTATAAGTTAAATAAGTTGAACATAATTAA